CCGCCCCCGCCCCCCCCTCCCCCCGGGTAGCCTACACACTGCTAAAGCCACCTGACCCATGTTGGACCAGAGCCAGGAGAACAGGAATTAGCAGCAGTTGTACAAGTCCAGCTGGAAGCTGCCTGGCCCTGATAGCTTCTTGCTGCCAGGCCTCAACACTGGCACAGGCAAAACCCTCCCGCTCTGCTAATCTATTTCTCAGCTTCTTTTAATATTTCAAAGTTCTGTACTTAGATTCCAAAGAAGTGGAGAGAAAGGATGACTCTCATACATCTATATTGATAATTATCTCAAATTCAGTTACAGTTGAGTAATCATTTTTCTGATTCAAAGTTATCTACAGATGAGTGATATATATTTTGTAATCTATAATCTTTTTATTTACCTAGCTCTTTCATTGCATCTTGTTTGTTCTTTTCCATAATTTTATTTATTTCCTGTAAAACAAAGGCAAATGCAATTTCTATTAGGAAAGTAAAATTTTTTTTCACATTTTACTACATTTTACTACAAATACAACTAAAGTTTGCCAAACAAATGTAGGTGGTTGGCAGAGATGAAAGAGTTAGGGTTAGCCTGAGCTATTAAGGCAGAAGGGCAGAGGATCAGGCTCCAGTTGACACCCTTAGACAAGGTCTGAGTCAACCAGACCCTCTCGACAACGTTCTGCTGACAGAGAAGTTGGCCACAGGTGGGAAAAGAGTACTCCTCATAACCTATGTAGCTTTGTTGGCAAAAGCTTGCATGTACACATCTCTGCTGGCAGAAAAATGTCTCAGTTGGCAAATCTTCTTCCATGGGGTAAAGCTGGTATAGATCTGGTTGCAGAATAACATCATCTGCTATCAGAAATGTGGCTCTGACAGGGGCTTGGCCACCTCAGTGTTCACCATAGTTAAAGCAGCAGCAGTCCCCATGACATGACATAGCGTTCAAATACAGGAGTTTTGCATTGTTCATAGTGGAGAAGCAGCTCCATCATTCTTTACAGAGAAGCAGCATGAATTTCCCAGAGTTGGGTCAGTTTTGCTAGAACTTATTTTTTAATAACAGATTAAGTTTTTTAATGAGTCTTTTCCACTTTAAAGTTTTCCAGAGCCTGATGGATCATAGAGTTATAGGAAAACAGAGCTGGAAGGGACCTCACAAGATTATCTAGTCTAGCCCCTTGCTCAAGCTAGGATCATCCCTAACTAAACCATCCCAGCCAACTGTCCAAGCGTCTGATTATTCTAACATCTTCATTTAGGTAGGGAATAAATTGTGATCATGAATTTGTGAGTTTATAACTTTTGTAATAATACAGGTTAAGATTTCCAAAATGCACATTTAAAGATTTTCTTACCCTAGCTAGTGTTTTCCCTTACCTGGGAAATAGTTTCATGACCAGCAATCTGTTCGATTAAATATTTTTTATCTTCTTCACCTTGAACATATCCCTTGGCAATATCATACCTAAAGGTTAGCTGTTTGTTTATTTGTTTATTCAACAGGTATATCAATTTTGGTATCACAATCTGAAATATATAATATTGACATAACATATATCTGGCAAACCAAATAACCAAATACATAAAATAAATGATTCAAGAGAAACGGGAACATTCTGAATTAGAATTCTTCAAGTGTATTTATATTTCGTAAATTTAACTTAGATTTATGTCAATACTAAGAACAGCATGTATATCCTAGACTGCCATTGTTTAGTGAAAGTTCTCTTAAACTTTCTCTTATTATAGTATCTCACAAAGCATATGTTTTTATTTATGTCATGGAAATCAGAAAAATAAAAAGGTTAGCTGCTGTAGTTATGGGGTTAATTTCCAGAATTCAGCTCCTTTGCAAAGACTCTAAGCTGTAGATTGTCGCTGCTTCAAGTAAAAGTTCTTTGTGACCTACAATTAAATTAACATCTGGTGCCTGCAACTTTCTGTTTTAGTATTCAGAATCAATTATTAACTGGGTTAACTGGATTTGACTGGGTTGATGATTTTACACAAATATTGTCTTTAGCTTGTTCAACTGATACTATCTTGTCCTAGTATTGATAGTTACATTGTTAACCTTTAAGTGTTTGATATAATTTCTAGTAGTCTTATCCTCAGTAATTTTTTTTGTTTTTATTTTACTTCTGCATGTTTAATACTTTTAATACAATTCATGAAAAGAATAATTATTTTTCTTTCAGTATGCAAGACTTAAAAATTCAGTTCATTAGCTGCTCCACTGATGAGAATAGATACTCTTCTTTGGTTCTAACAGTAAGTAGGTGCACTGAGTGAAGACAGATCTGTGGGTACTCATGTTCAGAAATAAACTGCCAATTAGTCAAGTCTTCCAGGTACCAGCCCCTGCATTGAGACAAATGATGATCTCACAGCATCAAGAACTCCAATTTGCTTCTGCATCAGGACAGCAAAGCTTGCATTGCAAAATAGGCAGTAAACATGTTTAAAGGGCTGACACAGAAAAGTCAATATGTGTTTCTGCATTTGTCCACTTTATATGAGGAGAAAAAAGTTTACATTGTTCCAAAAGGAAGGATGCTGAAGATATCAGATAAATGAACTCCTGCCTTCAAATGACAGGTTTGAGATCAAAGGATGGTCCCCTACAGCTAAAAAGTAAAGCCAAAGAAAAACTTTACTGAAAAAGAAAACAAGGAAGGGGAATGAATTCTCCAAACCTGAATCTTGTGGACATGAGTGACAGAGGCAATCCTGACCACAGACGCCTCTTTAAAAGACAGAAAATAGAAAGGATAAATAGAGGCAAATTCAAATAGAATATTAATAAGTAAATTAAAAATAAAATGTAAATCTCACAAAGCTGTCACCTTCCTCTTTAGCAGGCACAAAACACAGGAAGTTTCTGAGAAATTAAAAAAGGATGAGCAAAGAAGCAGTCATTCGACAAAAAACAGATGCCATGTATGCTTTCATTTAAGACATGGACAAGCTGGACTTCATCAATTGAAACTACCCATTGCACTAGAAAAGTCACCAAACTAGATTAAGGCACAGAGGCCTGACTAGAAGTTGGAATTGAAAAGTGTTTCAATTTTAAATATCAGATATTTATGTGATAAGTGGATTAACTATAAAGCATTAAAAATAAAGCTTGAGTCTTTGTGAAGACTTAGTGATTGCCATTTGTCTGTGCCAAGAGTCAAGAATTGATGCTACCACTGAAAGAAAGCAACATTTAACCGTACTATACAGTCTTCCTTCTGAATGAGAATTTAAAGCATGATTGATGGAAGCAGTATTAGATGTTCAGCCACAGTCAGGAGATTGCAACACCAGAACTGAAGATCATAGAAATGTTGAGTATGATCTAGTTTTCTTCCTGCCTCACCCTGAGAAGGAGCAGGGGAAGTAAAGAGAAGGGTAGGAATGTGTACTGGAAAACTGAGAGAAGAAATCTGCAGAGTATCTTTCTGTTCTTGTTTCTAGGTAGAAAACGTAGCATTCAACATTAGACTGAATGCAACATAAATCTATCTATGGGATGTCTTATTTCCCAAAGAAGTTTTTGAATACTGAGCATCAGGGGAACTATTTAACTTAATTTTCAGACAGAGGGTGATGGTTATTAAGAGCAGAATGCAGCTGAAATATTCATGAGAAATCTGGCTCTTCATAATGTTAGTTATGTGTTTTGGGATTTTATAAATTTAGTAGCATCATCCTGCTACTAGGGATTTTCACAGATTGAAAGTTAGATGATTTGAGTGTAAAAATAAAAAGTTGTATTATAATAAGTCACAAAGCCTGAAGAAAAAGAACCCTTCTCAGGATTTTTGATGGAAAAATTAGTCTTCTCCCTACCTCGACCTAGTCATATTGTGACTGCTGAATCTGGTAAGAACAATCTTCAACAAAACACAAGTTTTTTTCTTGTGAGTACATGAAGCACATGCATTGTATGCATATTAAGTGTAAACTTTCTGAAATGGTGGCCGAACAAATAAAGGAAGAAAAAGATTACTTAACTCTGCAAACAAATACAAGGATTTTGTAGTAAAAATGGTGAGCAAAACTTTCTTCAACAATTATTAATTAGGAAAACCAAAAGAAAACCTATTACTGGCCAGCAGTGATCAAACTGTTTGACTTCTCTCAAATGGCAGAACAAACAGGATAGGAGAAAAGATTTTTATGGAACATAATCAAAATGATATGTGTTGGGATACTATTCACATCAAGGAAAAGACAAACACATTTAAATGGTGAAACCTGGGAACACTACCATTTTACTGATCATTAAACAAATAAACAAACAAAAATCCCTTCATGATTGTATAATACCTTGATAAAAATGATGAAAACATTATTCTTACCTTCAAAAGACGAAGAATTCTAATAAGACGAACAATCCGGAATACCCTGATAGTGTTAACCACATGGTATGATGTGTGAACTGATTTAAATGTGATAATAATAAAGATATCTATGAGTCCAATTATTATGATTAACATGTCAAATTGGTTCCAGTGGTAAAAGATGTAGGTCTTCCCCATGGCTAGAGCCTGTTTTGATTAATAATATGCAATATTTATTTCAATTCACTACTTTATTTACCTGACAAAAACAAACAAAATGGTATATTAAATTTTTATTCAGATCTGAAAATAACTACAGGAAATCCCCGCTTAGTGCTCTTAATTGGTTCCTGAAAAAACGAGTGTTAAGTGAAACAAGCGTTAAGCGAAACTGAAAGTATTTGATGACCCAAGATTGCAACCACAATTGTTTTTAATGACCCAAGATGGTGACCACAAGCATTATAACGAAACTTGCTGAGCACTAAGTGAAATCAGGTACGAATTTCAAATAAGCATGGTAGTGAAATAGTGCTAAGTGAAACAGCATTGAGCGGGGGTTGCCTGTATAATGCATCTTCGCACACTACAACTCTAGATTGATAAACCCACTATCACTAATGGTCAGGGTATGTTTATATGGCACACTGCAGCACGCATTGGTTTAGCAAAGGAGCAGGTAATTATTTTGGGTAGAGGGCTGCTTACTGAATTTTGGCAGCCTATCAAGGGCTGCCAGGGTAACCTCACCCCTTGACAAGTGGCCTGC